CTGCTGAGCAGAAAGAGAATCACTATTAATTTGCCAGCTCTGGTGATTTGATTGTCTTACACAGATGCAGTTCTCCTATACTGAATGCCATTTTTTTTCTATACTAAGTGCTATATTTTGTGTGTTACGGAAATATTTGTTTGCTCAGCAAAACTTAGTAAATCACTTTGATTCTTTTTACATTTGGGGGCAGGGGAAGGTAAGCCAGGCAAACTTGTGTTAAGACTGTATATAGTTAAACCTGGTTTAGGGGGGCAGGATAAACTAGATGACTTCTGAGGGTATTTTTTTAAATCTGTGTTCTGTTTTAGTATATCCTCTAACCATGAACTTACATTTGAAGCAAGTAATTTCTGTGGCTTAGGAAAGATCAAGAAATTGGTCAGTTAATCTCCAGTCACTGTAGGGTTTGGTCTCCCTTACTGTTTACTAGCACTTAATTATCCTCGGTATTAAAACCTTTGGCACAATCTTCAGAAATCCCCTGTGTTGCAATTTAAATCAATTTTTTTCTAGACATGGTCACAGAAAACAAGCTTTTCCCCCTGCTTCTGTTATCCACATAACCTTTTCCAGAAAGCAGCAATCGTGTCTCCCATCAGTTCCTCCCAGACAAAAGAAACCCTGGACTTACTTTTTTTCTCCAGACCGTATTTTCTGGACTTTAGATCACTTCTGTTGGTTCAAATTGGCACAGGCCTTCATTTTCCAAAAGCAGCTTCCTGCCCTAAAAACAAATGGATGGATATGAAGCACAAATGTAGAAATGTGGACACGTGAAGATGTAAGCAAAGGTATATATTAAATTAATTTAAATTGTGGGGATGTTTGGTGCTTTGAATCTTCCTTTAGCTTTTCAACTGTAAGCACAGGGCAGGTTTGTACACAGAGCAGCTGAATTTGAGAGCAGGGCAAAGATCAGTAGTAACAAAAGGCAGCTGAATTAAGGTAGAAGTAGGAAGAAAAGAATCTCCTCCTCTTCCCTGTCTTCTCCAGTTTCTGGCAGTTACAGAAAGCTAATGACAGGGCCTCAGAGGTGAGAGCTCTCCACTAATCCTGCAGACTCCTGGGAATGCTGCTTTGGTGTCTTCATCAGCATTGAAATTCGCCAGCTCACTTTCAGATTCAGGGAGAAATAGTTGCCTCTTAGTGCACAAATCACCAGGACTGTTGAAGAGTTCACAGATTCAAAGGAACAATGAAGCACTTTGCAGGTGGCCACATTCCTCAGGGGAGTCTCTCAGCTGCGGGACATCGATGACCACCCTTTATGTTTAAGGAGGAATGGGGCATTCCAATCCAAACTTTCTTTTAGTTGTCTCGGCAGCTTGTCCTTTGGGGCACTGTTATCAGAGCATTATCACATCAAGGTAACTGGAATTACTCACACAGCCCAGACTGTGGTGGGCTTTCCACAGGAGTGAGAGGGGATCCTTCCCCGAGGAGTTCAGCGTTCTGCACAGACCCAGGAGTGAGGATGCAGTGGTGGAAGTGCCGGTGTTACTGCCATTTGTGCAGAAGTCACTGCTCCCCAAGCCATATATAACCTATGAGGTACCAGTAGGTTGAATTTCTTTGGTTTGCTTCTCAGCCCACACACATTCAGGAGATCTGCAGCCATTGGGTGAGTGTGGTGCAGGTTAAAATCCTGTCTCCACCCTAATGTTGTGTTTAGTGATGTGAGGCACCCAGAAGCCTCACTGTTGTTCTGAGGTTGTGCTGGTGCTTAGCAGTAATGCAGCGATGGAGGTGGGCTTCGCTTCACTGTTTGTTTAATTTACTCAGGATCCCTGGGCAGGAGCTCTGGGAGGTACGTGCAGATCCAAACGAGATTGGTTTCAGGAGCTGACTCTTTCAACAGCAGCAAAGCACGTGTTGCATGTAAGTGCCTTGGAATTGCAGTGAGGTGTTGGGATTGTACTGAAGTATTTGGAATGGCTCCAAACTGCGCCCATGCTGAGAGAAAGGCTGGCTGCAGACTCCTCTTCCCCGGTCCCACACATATCCAAGTGCCTGTCTGTGCCAGGATAAATTTGTGTGTCTTAGGGCTGGTGGATGTGCTGAGCAATACATCTGTTTGCAGACATGCAGGAGCTGTGTGGTGAAGAGGGTGTTGAGAGCTTCAGCCCAACCCCAGCTCTGTTAAGATATACCTGCTGTACCACAGTAGCTGTGTGCTGCACTTCCGTGGGGATAAATCTAATGCCTGCGACTCAGTTGATGATAAATATCATGTAAGTCATTGTCGAGGTTTTTCATGTGTTCCTTTTTATTTATTACAGCCCTTCTGGCAAAAGTTACTGCACAATTGTAAACCATAATGAGGAAAACAACTCCCTCCCGTGATTGCAACCTGTTTGTAGTGGAAATGGTGTCAGCGTTTGCCAGAGAGAAAATGCTGATATCTGACTTCACCTGGTGAAAAAGAAGTTTGCTTTGCTGCATGGTGGCCCCCCAGAAATGACATAGAAAAAGTCCTCTCTCCTCACCACCTGTTTATCAGCATTTTTGAAGTACAGTCATTCTGGCAGGAATTCAGATCTAGAGTGTAGGAACACATTAACACCTTTTCCAGAGCCCTTTTATCAGAGACATTGTGTTCTCAAATAGGTCATAGAGACAACAGAAAAGGCAAGAAGTAACAAGAGAATGCTGTGTAGCCAAAAGTAACTTACTGGCTGCTGCTGCTGGGGCTTGCTGCAAAAGTAAAATCATTTTGATAAGATGTTTCCTGTTTAAATAGACATTTGACTATGTGTCCTTTGGCTTTAAGGAAGTCTTAAACAAAATCCTTTCCTAGTTGCTTAGCTGTCTGGGTGGTTTTTATTACTTTGAAGTTGGGCTTTATCTGCTGGCTTCATTCACAGACTAGCTGGCTGCTTATCACATCTGTGGATCAAATCTTCAAAGGTTTTGTCTGAAGAGTTGGGATTTATGAGGTCACGTGGAATCCCCCTTGGAGGGCGTTCAGCCCATGGCAGCAGAATTGCGGGGCAAAGCTTTTGTCTGTAGGTGAGGCGGGCGGGAGGGCCCGGCAGGCGCTGGGGGTCTGTGCGCGGTGGGGAGGTGCCGGTGGCCGGGGAAGCGCTGGACTGCGAGCGCTGGCCCCTTTTCAGCACGCAACATATAGAGAATGTGGGAGACCAGAGCGCATTCCTAGACACAGACTCACCGTGTTGCTGCTTCCAGTCGAGCTGTGTGAAATGTCAGAAGGAATTAGACCCGTGCTGGAACTGCCGAGCACATCGGGCTCTGCAGCACTGTGCTTTTACAGCCAGGCTTACAAACTGCACTCGGGGGGGGAAATGGGGACACTTTTTTCCCTTCCGAAAGGTGCCTGCTTATTAAAAGTTAAAAAAAAAGGGGGGAGAGGGGGGAATAAAAAAAAAAAAAAAAAAAAGCTGCCTGGCTTTCTGCTTACTTCAACAGCGAGCAGCAGCTGTCAAGTCTGCAGCCAAGCCTGCCTTGTTCCAGCCCCAAGCGTCCCTGGAACAGTGTGCCAGCTGAGACGAGCATCTCCAGGAAAAGCACACTGGAGCGCTCTTGCCGCTGGAACTGAGCACGGTTTGCAGGCTCTGTTCAGGCATGCCAGGCTTTGCTGACTGTACAGAAAGGGGCAGGCTCGGTGCAGCAGCACATGTTTGGTGCATTTCTGAGTGTCTTGCGAGCAGCTTTAGCTGATTAGGTCACTAGAGATCATGCTTGGCTTCAGACGAGCACAATGATACAACTGTATGTGCTGCGAGCGGGAGAGAGTGCTCTGTGCTGATTTATACCTCAGCTTCCAGTCAGGAGACGAAGATTAGGTTAAAGGATTGTGATGATCTCTGTTAAAACAGTGTTGGAAAGGAAGCTATTTTTCTTTGGCTGCAGCACACTGTGAGTTACCTCCTGCAGGAGGGTGAAGGCATTGTAGGTGCTGTGAAGGCAGTACAACCCCACTCACTGTGCGGGGTTTAGGAATGTTTATAGTAAACGTTAATTTGATGTGTTTGGAGATGCGGCTCGTTGTCTTCCTTGGCTTCTCCGTCAGAATGTGCCGCTGCTGCAAAGAGAAGCTTCACGTGTTTGTGCTTGTATCCTGTGGCCAAAGCCGCTCTCTTTCAGCACTGAATCCGCAGCCCCTCTTTGGGTCAGAGCTCCACCCCTGTGAAGGAGCAGAGCCTGTTGAGGCTCTGGAGCCGCCGCTGTCCGCCTGCCATGGCTCCTCCTCCCCTCCCACCCTTGGGTGGAACCAGGGAAGGGAAAACTTGACAATAGTTAGCAGGCAGCAGAGCTCGCAGGAACCACTGCAGCAGCATGTCCAACTAGCCCGGTTAGCAGGGATTCTGTCCTTCCCGAGGTGCTGCTGCTGCGGAGTGCGGGAGGAGATGGTTATAGCCATGGGAGCCAGGAAAAGTCTGAAAAGGAATGAGCAGCCGAGAGACCTGGCATTCCTTGGGCAGCTTCAAAGAGAGGTGAAGTATCTGAATCAGCGCAAGAGTAAATGAGCCCTGGCTGCTGCCATGTTGGCAGAACAGAGCTGTTCAGAGGCAGTTGGACGAGTTTGTGGCTGAGCCGGTTTATCCAGTGTTGAAGATGGGAAGTTACTTGTCTGCCCCAGCTTACTTCGCTCCCAAGGATCCCTTTCGGTAAGTGTTGCCCAGGATTAGCGCTGGACCCTCCAGAGTGTTGTTTTCCCTCCTGTGATGGAATCCTAAAGCGTCAGTGTGTGAAGAACGAGGTCAATGCTTGTGTGCCGGGAACAGCCGGCCTCAAACTGGGATCCTGTGTGGCTTTGAGGAGGCAACAGGGGAGATTCTTGCTGCCAACCCTTTCCCAGCTCTGGGCTGGAGGGAGCGGCTCCAGAGTGTGTGCAGCCCAGGCAGGCTCCCCCTCAGGGAGCACGAGATGTGCCACTGTGCCCAGTGCCCCGTGCTTTGCTCACTGGCACAGGAATGAGATTACTGTGGCTGCTGCTGCTTCTCTTCCAAAGCTCCTTGTGCCTGGGCACAGCACAGGGTGAGCTGAGGTGCTGCTGTGGGAGTGCAGGAAGGTGATGTAACCTGCAGCGAGGCAGCACATAATCCTGTTTGAGAAAAGAAATCAGGTACTTCTCGAGTAACTAGGGATGAGCAGCACACTTCCCTTACGTGGAAAGGGTTCTTCTGGGATATTTTGGTTTATTCAATTTTTATTTGTTCTAGGTCCAGTTGAACAAATGAGGCTCGAGAAAGGTGATAGCTCCAGAATAAGGCTTTGATTGCGTTGCATCTCCGTGGTGAGAACAGTTAGTGAGGCTGAACACAGCCGGGCTGGTGACTGATGTGCTGATGAGGTGGATGGATGAGGAAAAGCACAGCTTGCACTTTCATTGTCTTCCTCCTATCCCCTCTGCTCGGATTTGCTTGTTATTGATCCTGTTCTGCAAACACTTTTGTGCTGATTTGGGAGTAAGGAGCCTTTTGTTGAAGCGGTCTAGGACAGGAGTAAATATTGGTGTGCATTTGCTGAGCTTCTTTAGGCAACTTTCTGAAACAGCATCTGCTTTCAGAAGAGGGAAAGTGAGCAGACATTCATTATTTGTAATATGTGTAGGGTATTGTGCTAAGCCATAGATACACCTTCTCCTAAATGTGTGGAAATGGTTTTGCACAGTCAGAGCTTAAACACTCTGTCTTACAGTATTCTGTTTTCTCGTATCCGTTTTTCCCTGTCTGGTGTCTCTTACGTGGGCAGTGCACACACTCCTGCTGAGCCCGGGTGAGCCTTTGGGTCAGCTGCAGGCTGGGGCTGTGCTTTATCCTGCAGCTTTCTGTCTGTGTGACTGTGCTCCCCCAGCTCTGCCGGCAGGATTGGAACCAGGGCTCTCCCGAGCCTGTGTAGCGTTAACTGATCCGGCCTGACAGTGAGTGTGAGGGGGGCATTTTGTTAATGAGCCCTTCTCAAAGGGATCTGTCTCTTCAGTGCCAGGGAAGTCTTTGCTTCCATGAGGGTATTGGCTTTCATCTAGCTGTAAAAGAGATGCCACATCAGTTGAAACCGGGCTGGTTACCTGTTGTGACCTGATCCTCCTGCCACCCCCCCAAAACCGAGAGTCCGTCCAGCAGCGATTTGTGAACTCTTTCTGCACCTGCTGTGCTGCAGATCACCACAACTCAGCACTGCACCCAAATGCTGCCTGGGGTTCCTGAGGGATGGCTGTGGGAGGCAGATTAATTTATTTTGTATAGCCAAGGCTGGGAAGTGAAGAATCATAATGTCTGGTCTGTATAATGAGAGCAGGGTTCTGTGGCTCTGAAAATGGTGGCTGGGCAGCAAGAGGAAACACGTCAGGTATGGCTGGTACCAGTCCTCCATGAAACTTGATTGCCATGGTTTGTTACTCTGTAATGAGAACAGCAAATCATCGAGGAAAAGATTAGTGGTTTCTAATCTATAAAAGATTAGCATGGAGGAGCATGAAATCTTCCTTTCTTTTGGTCGTGGTGACTGGCAAAGGGTAGCTTGCTAAATACTTGCAGCAGTAGTTGTGTTCCTGTCTCAGCTGATGTGACCCCTGCTGCAATGCCACAGCTCTAGTGAGGAGGGAAAGGAAGAAGCTGTATCTCCTGTGATAAAATTCTGACATGATAACATTCAACAATCTCTTCAGTGAGAGCTGTGTGGAACAACCACGTGATGCTTTTATCATTTGGGCCGAGGCACTGAAACCATACCTGTGCTGTCAGCCAGTGTCCCACACCTGTCAAACCTAAAGCCTGTCCTAGGTTCCAGAATGCATGGTACGTAACAAAGGTGCTGCTTGGCATTGGGGGCTGCAGCCTTGTCCTGTTGCTGGCAGAGATTAAGGAAGCAGCCAGTTAGGCCCATTCCCAGCATCCAGCCTCTCTGGGACTCTGTTCCTCTTGCCTCATTGCCCAGGGTGGGGTTCTGAGCCTTAAGCTGCAAACTTGTCCTGCCCAGATTTGTTTAATTACATAGCAAAGAACTGACTGCTTGCTGGCTCCACCTCCTCACCTTCGTTTTGCTATGGGTGTGTTTCACATTAGATACCAGTGCTTATTTCCGGATGGAAGCAAAAAAACCCAGGTACTGTGAGGTTGAATCAAACCATGGAGAAGTAGAAGAGAGGTAAAGGAAAGACAAATGCACATAATCCCCTGGAGCCCACCTAAACAGAGTTGAAGTTGTGTTGCTTTTGCAGAAATTTTAGATTTTCTTAGGGAGAAAAAGGGATGGTTGAAGGTGAAATTGAAGAGGGGCAAGGAAGGGAAAGTGTTGTGCCTAAAAACAAATAAATAACTAACCCACCTGGTTGGAGAGAACTTAGACAGAAAGCCAGGTGTTGAAGTCCTGGTGGAGCAGTCTCCAGCATTGCTGTCTGCATCCTAAGTGCAGGTCTGGTCACAGCTCCCTGTTGGAAGATGTAATCACTCGTGGAGCACACACTGGTACAGGCATGCATGCAGAAGTTGGATAAGTCTGAGGGATCCGATTTGCCAGTGCTGAGCCAGATGTTCCTGCCACAAGACGATAGAAATCTTTGCTGTTAGTCTCCACTTGCTCTTTTCTCCCTCCCACTCACCCCCTTGCTCATTCAGCGAGGGGGATTTACTGCAGATGAAGCCAAAGGCCGGTGGTTGGAGGCAGAATGCACTGCCATGCCCTCTGGGTGTCCTGCATACCATGAGCAGGGTGTAACCACGGCAGTGCCCCCAGGCTGGGGCTGCAGTGATGGATGTACCACCTACAGCAGCCTTGACTTACTGCTCCCTCTGCTCCAGACAAAATTGGCAGGGCCTGTTGCACGTGCTGGAGTTCTTTCCCATCACTTGGAGGGGGGTCAGGATTTGATGCTCCTCAGCTGGGAGAACAAACACTGTATAAGCCAAATATGTTAGAAGGAGCAATCTTCCTGAGGGTAGGGTACGGCACTAAGTACTTCATGAGGTGTTTTCCCCTAAAACCAAAGGCTCTTACGAGCAGCCTTACCCGGTTGCTTTGCAGTCTCTTGAGATGGAGCAAATAACTCTCTCAGTGTTGGAGCACAACCAGCTTCACATATCATCACGCTCATTACAACTGGTGGAGTTTACAAGGAATGTCTTTGGCACAAATAAAGCTTTTGGGAAGCTTGTGAGAGGTGAAGTCAACAGTAGCTCCCATCTTAGCCTGGGAGCATGTAAAAAGTGCACCTCCAGTGCCACCAGTGACTCCAGTGCACTGGGTGCTGAGAGATGATCCCCACCGACCTAAACCCCCACCCCAGGGTAGTAACTGGGACAGGTGTTGGGGTAAGAGGCAAAAGAAACTCTTCCACCTGTGGGGAAATGACGACATTGATCCTCGAGGTGTTTCTCTGAACTGGTTATTGGTGACTAACCCGCCTGGGATCCGGCTCATGAATGGCCAACACCAGACTTATTTTCCTTTTAAAGTCTGAGAACGTGCTGCCCAGGGCTAATGAATAATCTTTGGTGATGCAACTGCTGTCTGTGCCTTATCTCTGCATTGTGTCACACCTCCGTGCTGCTGAAGAGGCAGGATTACTGTGTGTTCAGGAAGCCTGAACATCTGAGTTCTGCTTGTGATTGCTAAAAGGTATCTGCAGTAGAATTGCTGCATCTTTTTCCTTGTTTCTTTTTTTCTTTTTTTTTGCCTTTTTTTTGGGGGGGGGAGAGTTGTTTGTTTGTTTGTTTGTTGAGGAGAAGTAGATAGAGGATTAATAATGGTTGCTTGGAAATAGGAGCTGACACTGATATGTGAAGGATTTTGAGACTCCGTGAAATTAGAGAAACAGTTTTGTTTGGGATTTTTTTCCATTGCTTGCCTGTGGTGTTTATTTTCTCATGCACTATGATCAGAAGGGAGCAGTTGGTGGGGAGAGGTGGAGGACTTTTCTCAGAGGTAACTGGTGGGTGCAGTGAGTGTGTGGAGCTCAAGGGACAAACTGCTTTGAAAACTCTCCCTCAAATGCAGAGTGCTGCAGTTTACCTTTTGGGAGAGGTCTGCTTACAGAAGAATGGAAAAGCTCTCGACAAAGGTTGGTGCAAAACTGGCTTTGTGTTGCATAGGGAAGTGGATCCTGCCTCTCTGTGCCCCTTCCTAAACTGACTGAGGAGACAAGTGCTCTGGCACAAGATTGTTGATGCTACAGAAACACCAAGTAGGAACACAGCAAAGCTGTCTCTGTGCTGGGCAACGCTGTGGCTGGAAACTTGCATCCAGGAAAAGAGAGAGAGATCAGAGGAGCAAAATATAAAGCAGAATTTATAAACTTACTGGTGTGTTTTAATGTGTGGGATTTGTTTTACACTTTGGAAGCTTCTTTTCCTTTGTACTGGTGGATTCCACCTCTCCTTACAAACTTCAGGTTTGGGTGTAATTTTCAGCTGAAAGAGCATTGAGAAACAGTAGAGTTTAGTGCATCCATAGCTAGAAGAGCTGCTGGTGAGCTGCTGCTGAATGTCTGTGTTCTCCACCAGGACAGGACCTCTTTTGTTGATTTGTGACTCATTGCCAAGTGGAACTTTGTTTCTTTGTTTTCTTCAAGGTGCTCTGAATGTCAGGATCCCCTCACTAACTGGTACTACGAGAAGGATGGGAAGCTGTACTGTCACAAAGACTACTGGGGGAAGTTTGGGGAATCTTGCCATGGCTGCTCTCTGCTGATGACTGGACCTGTGATGGTAAGGACAGAAGGATTCCTGCCTGAACTCCTCAAACTTAGTTAGGTGTTGTCCTAGGTATAAAGATAACCAAATAAACTGAAGGTAACAGTCTCCTTGCTTCTCTAACCAAAGAATAGCAATGGAGACTGTGTGTGCATCTTCTAGATAAAGGATAATTTTGAATGGGGGAGCTGTGAGGATCTGAAGCATATGAACAAAGAAAGTAAAGTGCTGAAATGCACAGGCCTGAGAAGCAGAAAAGTGATTGGGGGGACATGTGTTCAGTTGCTGTAGCACAGTGAATGCCTCAGTGTTTGCACAGGGTGATTTTCCACTGCACTGTGGAATCAAACCTCTCAGCTCAGGATAAGCAGCAGGTTCTGGTTTTGGGGAATGTTGCCATCCAAGTCCCACCTGGGCTGCAGCCAGAGTGGTTTTTCAGGCTGATGGTGTCTTGAAATAGTGTTAGCCCCAATTACTTTGGGGCTTGAAGTTGCTTTTGAAGCATTGAACTCTGCCTGCACAATATGGGGCTCACCTAAATGTTCCCCTCCTGCCACAACCTTGCAAATATTTAACCTATAAAACTGTCAGGAATGAAACATGACCGTTATTTTTCTAGGGCCTAAATAAAAGCAATGTGGTACTTAGTGATACCATTGCTACCTCAAAGGGAAGCACTGAGGAACGTGCAGACAATTTCTCGTTGCCTGCAGAAGTCTTTGTAGAATACCGTCAATAAGGGAACTTCTCATAAGGAAAACAGAAAAACAGATCAATGAGTAAAAATATTCTTTAAAGGTATTTTTTTGTCTCAATCTCAGTTTGCTCTTTCTCTGTCAGCTGGCTGGTAAAGCATCTGAATTTGTGCATTGCCTGTCTGCCAAAAAAAAAGCCCTTTCAGCTTTATTAATTCAGGCGTAACATTAGTTATCTTGCCAAGAGCAACTGAACAGGAAGGTTTAATACCTTGTTTACTAGTCTCCAGCAGACTATCAAGTATTTTTGATAGCTGAGCAGCTGCCAAATATAGCAGAGGTCCCTGGGACACAAGCTTTGCTCTGCGTGCTGACATGTTTGTTTTGGAGTTCTGCAAACAAGGTGCCAAGGATGGGGCTCAGGAAAGACAGAATGGACTAATAAAACTCTCCAGTAAAAACCTGCTACTTGACTTTGAGCTGTGAATGATCTCGTTAATTAGAGAGGAAAGCAGGAGCTGCATCTGCTGATGGATTCTGGCCGTGCTTAAGTTACTCCCTCTTCTGTCTGTAGGTGGCTGGCGAATACAAGTATCACCCCGAGTGCTTCGCTTGTATGAGCTGCAAAGTGATCATCGAGGATGGGGACACTTATGCACTGGTGCAACATTCCACTCTCTACTGGTAAGAGGAGCTGCTCCCCGCTGTGTGTAAGCCCTGTTCAGCCAAATGCTACTCTAAGGAATGCCAGGAAGCTGCCTTTTGAGGGAGGGAAGAAGGAATGGTGTAAGCACTAAAAGCTGTGGCTTGTGGTCAGTGAGAGGACTTAGGTGTGAGTTTGGCAGGGAGGGACAGGACACTGCCATGATGACTTTCTTTGCTTTTTTCAGTGGGAAATGCCATAACCAGATCGTGCTGACACCCATGATAGAAAAGCACTCCACAGAGTCCCTGCGGGAGCAGCTGCCCTACACACTGACCCTCATCTCCATGCCCGCGGCCACGGATGGCAAGAGGGGCTTCTCCGTGTCTGTGGAGGGGGGCTGCTCCAGCTATGCCACTGGTGTCCAGGTGAAAGAGTGAGTATGCCCAGGCTGTGTGCAGTGTACGTGTCTGTGCAGGGGGAGCTGGTACAGATCCTGCAGCTCTGCTGTCCTGAGGGGATCTCGGCGTCGCAGGGACATCTGTCACCTGTGTTTGGTCTCCATTTCAGTATCTTTCATCCACCTTAACTGATAATTTTATCTCTCAGTGCTGTCTTCTTCACTGGACACAAGATATTTGGAGGATTGTAATGGACTAACAATTTTGCTGTTGGTCATGGAGAGCTCTCTCCAAACCAGCTCAGACCTAAGCACTCGGTCTCGTGGGAGCTCCCTGTGCTGGTAGATTAGCACTGGTTTATTGCAAAAGGCCAATATGAAGGGAAGCTTTTTTTTTTATAATTTTGGCTAAACTGAGTTCTCACACACACTGTAATTCCCCTGTTCAGAGTTAACAGGATGCACATCAGCCCAGATGTCCGAAATGCCATCCACCCTGCGGATCGGATCCTGGAGATCAACGGAGCTCCCATTCGCACCTTACAGGTGGAGGAGGTGGGTGGAGTTCTGTCCTGAAGCCTCCTTCTCCTCTGCCTTCCTACACCTTCTCTGTTTCCTGACACTGTTCTCCTGCCCTACACACAGTGTGTACAGCCCTAGCACTCGTGCTGACAGTAGGAATAAACATGGGGACAAGCTTTGCCTTCCAGCTGGAGAGGAAAATGTAACAGATGGAAATGCAATTAGGATGCAGGAATGATTTTGTGGCATTCAAATGTAAAGGGGGGCAGTAAGAAAAGTCCAGGGCTGTGAGAGAGGACAGAGAGGCTGTCAAGACTTTCCCATGTACTGCTAGTGAAGTGCACTCTTCTGAGCCTTTGAGAGGCAACTGCTAATTCACAAGGGCCCAGCTGATCATAGGGGGAAGTTTTTGTTGGTGCTGAAGAGAACACAAGGAGCACAAAACATCTCACAGATAAATCTCTGTGTAGCTTTTTCAAAGCTGTTTTTTACAGCACTGTTCGAGGTGGAAACCTGTGTAATTTTTGAACACAGAAAAAGAAAATCATTTGATAGTCATAGAATACCAGGTTGGAAGAGACCTCAAGGATCATCTGGTCCAATCTTTCTTGGCAAAAGGACAGTCTAGAGAGGATGGCTCAGCACCCTGTCCAGCTGAAACATAAAAGTGTCCAATGTTGTGGAATTCACCACTTCTCTGGGGAGATTATTCCAAGGGCTGATTGTTCTCTTTGGGAAAAACTGTCCTTTTGTGTCTAATTGGAATCTCCCCAGGATTAACTTGTACCAGTTACCCCTTGTATTTTCCACGTAACTCCTTGTAAAAAGGGAGTCTCCATCTTCTTTGTAGCCACTCTTTAAATACTAGAACATGGTGATAAGGTCTCCCCTCAGCCTTCTTTTCTCAAGGCTGAACAAA